ACCAGTAACACATCACGCTCGTTCCTAGACGATGTAGTACCACTGCTGTGCTGTGCACCTCTCTACACTCATTGTGGGCGAGAGGGTGTGTCGCCTCTGCTGCTGCTGCTGTTGCTGTTATCTAAAGCGGTGGCGGAAGCGTCCTGTTCAAACAATCAGCAGCAGCAGCAGCACAAGCCGGGGAATTTTTCAACGTTTTTTTTTTTCCTCTCTAGCTGATGACGATGGATAGCACCCCCTCCCTCCTCTGATGATGGCACCCCCGCCTCACGGCTGACGATGGATACCACCCCTCTCGCTAGCTGATGATGGACACCACCCCCCCCTCTAGCGAATGATGATGGATACCACCCCCCTCTCTAGCTGGTGATGATGGACCGCTCCCCCCCGTTCTTCTGTAACAGACGCACGAGCCTACTGCAGGTACTTTGTGCAACCACCACAAAAAACTATTCCACCTCCAACTCTAGTACTGCAGTCAGGGACGTGTTGACAACAACTACAACAAGTTGTACACCAGTTTCTACTTGGCCAACTAATGTACTGCATAGCCGGCAGAGGAAGAAGGAGGAAAGTCCAAGTAGGCATGTATATATCTCATTCTTGTGAAGAAAAAAATGAGCGTAGTCGCAGCGAAGAACACCAGTACATATCTCACTGTCCCGACGGAGACCAAAAGCTACCCTGATGGCTTTTCCTTCCACATATCGCGAAGAGTTCCCTGAACCTCCCCCCGCGGCTTGGCTCTACCGCTCTGTTGAGTTTCATGAGTAAACGAATGAACGGTCTTCGAAAGAAGGTACTGCGTCTCACGGTACTCGCCACCCCTTCCCTTCCCGTACAAATACAGATAGCGCCCGCAGCTAAGAAAAATTCTGTTGAGAAAAAAGGCTCAACTTTGTAGGGCAAATCAGAAAAAAGGGCTAGAAACATAGCTCAATCTCGGCCACAGCGTAGAAACGCCCCAATAAGAAACGTGATGGTTATGGTGGGATACCCCATGACATCAGAAATGTGCGGTGCTTCCAACCCCCTCCCAAGCTGAACAAAAGTGCATTTTTTTTGTAGGGGGCAGAGTCCCCGCCCCTCCGCGCCCCTGCTGTTCACAGTGAGTTCTGTACTTCAGTACTGCCACACATTGCGGACAACCATATGCTCTCCGCCGTTGTACGGGTTTGATGGCACTCTCCACCACCTCTCTTGAGGGCTTGATAATGTAGATTGTCGTCAGCGATCAACAGACAGAAAAAAGAAAGTACGAAATACTTGTAGTCTAAACAACAAGAGAATCGGGAGGATGCGACAGTCCAAAGGAAGAAGAAATGCCATTTACGAAATGGACGACTTGGGCCGGTACTTCGACCCAAACGAAGGCATTGTTGAGGCTCGAACCGATTTTGACGTTTCTTAACTGCGGGCGCTATCTGTAGGATCGAACGTCCTCCAAGCGAGAGATAACGTCGCCCTCGGTGAGGGACGAGGTTTTGCACGACTCGTTTTTTGGCGGCATCAGATGGACCGCCGGTAGATGGGAGGAATCTAACCATTCCAACACCCAGTTGCAGCTGCAGCAGCAGACCGGTCGCTACTTGTGCTGTCTGTGTGTCGCTACTTCTGCACTCACTGTGGTGCGTGGTTCGTGCAAAGAGCGGCCCGCAGGCCCGCAGGACACAAAAAGAATGGGGATACGCGGCAGAAAAATGAGGGTACCCCCTTGATTGTTTATTCTGACGGGCCCCCCGTGCTCAGCTAAACAATATTCCTTTAAGCGGGAGGTTTCCTTAACGCGAGCGTCCTTAAAGCGGGGTCCACTGTATGCATTTCGCATGAACAATATGCACCCAACGGGCAACGTACGCACAAACAGACACGGGCTCAGCCAAAGCAAGATTGCACACTGGGTGGCCGTTATTCATAAGATCAGGACAACACTGGTGTGGTAGTTAGATCTCTGGGCGTAGCGAGGCTTGGGTGTGGAGGTGTAGATACGGGTGAGCTCTACGTTCGAACGCCGGCACATGCACACATTCGACAGGTAACCAACCATCGTTCGCGATGTAGGGGAACTTTATGCCGACAGGAAGCATCATTTTATCGTGTGGGACATGTCCGTTTTATGGTTGCCCGACCTCGACATTTTTTAGCGTCTTTCCACTAGCATCTGGTACACGTATCGTACCCCTATACTACACTATAGTACACGAGGTTTCCTTTTCCTGTCTGGTTGCACTGCATGTATCTATGTATTTTCCGCGTCGTCCTTGACTACAATAGTAGTACCTGGTGAGCGTTTCGTAGCGCTCGACTACATGTATGCACACCAGGATTCATTTTGTCAGGCAGATGCTTTCCCGCCTTATTTGTCCTCTCCTAGTTTGTTGACTGGTTGTTTCCCGCGTGTATTTCACTCGTCGGACTGCATTGCATGCCACTTTCCCCTTTGCATGTCTATGAGATGAGTGGTCTGCGCACTGCACTGGTTATGGAGGTGTTTCATCTGCGCACTTCTTTGTAGCGGCGTTTCTGGATTTCATCGAGTGGGACTTGTGCCCGTTTTATGATTCGCCCGACCTCGACATATTTTGGCGCCTTCATTCTCCTTGTCGTCCTTCACTAGTCCTGTGGTACTTGTACTAACTGCACAACGAGGTTTCATTTTCTTACCTGGTTGGACTTCCTTGATTTCCGCTTTTATTTCGACCTCAATTTCGACTTCATTGTCCCGCGTATCTCTGACTCGGCGGACCTTAGTCCACTTGGTTGGCCCTTAAGCCTTGCGCCCGTATCACTCATCTTGGCCCCTGGCCCTGCCTGGCTTCTGGTTTCTTTTGCGGTTTGCCGTTTGGTTGCGGTATTCGTCGTGCTGCATACATATGCCGGGACCATCACAAAGAAATTCCACCACATCGTCGCTTTCACATTAATACCTCATCGGGGCTGTGCCCTCGGTCATTCTCTCCCGTACTCACTTGACGACCGGAGAAATAACTGTGGTTCACGGTTCCCCGTCTACCCGGCAAAGCGTACCCTTGCCGATCCTTACCTGTCGCCAATGGCTCCCATGGTCACGGCCGACGGCCACCTGTCGGTTTTCCGACTCGGTACCTATGCCAACGCCAAGTCAAGAACGAGGGAGGGACACTGTTGTTTCTGTACTTCTTTCCTTCGTTCAACTTCTTCTTCATGACCACGAACAACAATAACAACATCATCCTCGACCCCCACATAGATAGATATACCCTCCCCGGCCAAAAATATGGAAAGAGCTTCAGATTAGGCCGGAGCTGCCCCCCGGGCTGTTATTGTAAATGTGTTCGACGTCAACAAACGGTTGCCATTCGTCTCGGCGATGCTGACTTTTCGTACCACACCCTTCCTTTTCCAAAGACGCGTAGTTTGAGGTAGAGCATGCCTTCATTGACCCCCGGGATGGTGAGCTATTGTCCCCTGAATTTTAAGGACGCAACTCCGCTTTAAGGACGTTTTTTTCGGGAAAAACCATGTGCGTCCTTAAAGCGGGGTCGACCGTACGTAAGCATCGTTACGTCCCATTGATACGCCTCAAGAACCAGCGGAAACCCATCTGTTACCGCATTCCTCTTTTGACAACATCAGACCGCCTGCTGAAGGAGACAAGACCGTACACCACACACGAACCACACAGCTACGCAGACCACACGACTCTGGATAGGTTTGTCTCCACTGGCAGCTCGTCGTGTACTTCAGACCCCGGCAGTGTTGCTCGTGATGCAGGGGCTGCTGCGTCAGCACGAGCTGGTTCGTTTGTTGCGCCATTTTTCCTACCGTTTCTGTTTCTTCTTTTTTTGCCGTCCGACAATTGCAGATGTACCTCAGAAAACTTTCACTCAATGTCTTATACTCTACATGAATATTAAAGCTATACGACGTACAACAAGGTATGTAGGACTTGTTTTTGTTTTTCGAATTATTTTACTTGATTCTGTTTGCTGTTTGCACAGCAGGTAGCAGCACTCTTGCTGGTGGTTTCTTCTAGGTTTCTTGGCTACGTTCAGGGCTGCCGCCGTGTCGTTGTTTTCTTGTTTCTCTGTTGCGAGAGGCTTCCGATTTTCTATTATTTTCTGCTTCGTTCCTTGCATATTTTATTTCTCCAATCGATGGGTTTGGTGGAACTATGAAACATTGAATGTCATTCACAAATTCATCATGCTAGCCATTTTAACTCGTGTGCATGCATACATACGTCTCCTATGATCTTGGAGTTTATGGGCATTACAAAGTTTGAAATTTCGTGCTACATTTCCTCGTGCCGAAACCGAAAAAATTGGGCGTTGTACCCCAAGTTTCCATCGTTTGCCCGCGATATTGCCTTTATCAGACGGCCCAAAAATCACCCAAAAAATATTGATTGTGAAGCCAAATCGCGTATTAAAGCGACTCCGGCGGGGCGCCTCCAGCGGGGCCCCTCACCAGCCGGGGGGCCGATGGTCGCGGCTGCACTGGTCCCCCGGCGAAGCCACGTGGTCGCGGCTGCGCCGCGACCACGTGGCTTCGCCGCGGGACCGGTGTACTGTTCGGATGCAGTATTCAGGATCCTGGCTGGCTTCGCCAGTACCCAACCCTAAGAATTGTAGAATGGTTCGTTGATGCGTGAATGACAACAAAGTAAATGGAAGCTTGAGGCTGTGTAGCAAGGAAATGGAACGAAAGTCGGCTAGATTCGAACAGAACAAAATGTGCATGTCATTGCTGCATGTATGGTTGAGCATGAAATACCTGTTTCCGTACTGACCGTGAGATTTTCCGGCTCGCTAGGTAAGGGTTGCTGTGCAAGGGCCCGCAATCTGTGTGCATCATTTACAGACCCACAGCCCTTAACGTATCGCACCAACATTCGTTTCCTCCAGTAGTGCCATTAGTGCCACAGCATGGCTTGTTCTGAGTGTTGGCAACGCGAAAACCAGAGTTTATAATGGAAAAAATAGACCGGGTCTGCTTGACTGTGTATTCCCCATTTTGGTCGAAGCTTTCACGGAGGCAATTAAGTGCGGTGGAAACCCGTGCAATTGTTGGGAGCTTCCGTCACTTCCACGGAACAACTACATCCAGGACGCTCAATATCTCAACCTGATGCAAGGACTTGACGGTGGAAATGCCGAGCGACATGTACATGACCAAAATCTGACAGCTTCTGTGGAATTGACGGAATCCATTGAGCCTCTTCGAAAGTTTCTAAAGCCATGAAGACGAACCCATCGACATCGTTTATCGCTACATGGCAGTCCACCCTCCTCCGCAGACCCCATGCACGGAGTCCACCGTCTCCTCTCCTGCGAGACTCTTGGATCTACGTGAGGGCACGTGCCATGCCACCAAGAACAGCGTTCGAATGTTTGGGTTTTCAAGGGTCCCGACTCACACGAGGATCATTGCGTCCCCTACCACGGCGACGACACTTTCATCATCATCGTGTTGTCGACCCTTCGAGGCATGCTGCCATGTACTGCGTGCGGTTTTCTCGTCATGAGAACCCCACTGGTAGTCTCATGGGGGATACTGCCTCCGCTTATGTCATGAGGAATACAACCTGCGGTAGAGCAGTCGTCGGAGAAAGCTCCAGCGGTCACTGGCTCGTTTGCCTCTGACCCTCGAAAACCCGCTCTCTCCAGGTGTGCTAACGAAATTCCACTGGGCGTCAAGCTTGCTGTGGACGCCTCTTCTGGTTGGTATTGTGAGCGTGCGGATGGCCTGCATGGGGTCCGTTTCCGCTCCGCCAGGGGCAATTCAAACCTCGCAAGGATCAAAACGCCACCAAGCCTGTAAAACCCCTTTAAAGAGCGAGACCCGACAGTTGTCTCGGAATAAAGCGGCGTTGCGCCCTTTCGTTCGTTCATCTACCGGTCGATCTCTTGGCGGCCGCCGTGCTATCCTGGCCTTGGTGTCAGCCGTCCACGTGGACCTGGTGGAAGGCAAATGTGAGTGAGTGTGGCAAGCGTTTACGCCGACGATAGTTGAGGATCAGCGTTGCGGGTTGGCGGTCATGGTGAAGCTCGGAACCTAATGTAGCGGCATCATGCGCGTGTTGACATTGGATTGGTTGGTGTCGATCCCGCCAACAGGCTGACCAATGAAACGTTGACAATCTTCATGGGGGACAACAATGCTAGCTGGTGCATGTGTCGTGTCATCTACGCTGGACGTCAACTGCTGTGCACCTATTGGTATGTTTTTGAAGGCGACCCGCGGAGGAAATACCGAAAGAATAAAAAGGAGGTTCCCACCCTTCTTTGTCTGGGCCCTTCCGTTGGACTTGATGGTTGTTCGGATCGCCAGGAGGCCTCAGTATTATTTCTCGCATCGACCATGAAAATCGAACTGATGTGCGCGTTTCTGTCACAACACACGAATGGTCGCTATCCACGTGTTTGTGAGTGAGGTCTTCAACTTTTTTCATTTTACTTTTTAAATTATGAACTGTTTTTCCTTATTCCTGGAATGATGTTTATGTTTTTTGAGAAATCATTCCGAGTTTGCGTGATTTCGCCCGAGATTCGAAACCACGCCCCAAAAATCAGAAAGTCCGAGGGTTCATACAGTAGCAACAAACGCGACTGGTGGATCTCCCACGAGTGGTTTCTTTTCGCTCTCCTTCCAAACACCGATGCAAGTATTGAAATTTTGTTGCAAGTGTGCGAAATCCTCGACCTATTTCTCGGCGGAGTCGAGGCATCACGGTTCACGAAAGCAGCCTTGTGCCGTGCCGCCGATTTTGACCCGTGCGACGCAGGGCTGATTGAGTTTCCGCCGAGGTTCAGGTGTATATGGAACGACCTGCCGCACGGCCTGCAGTTCGCGATACTCTTTCTGGTGAGATCAAGTTTTGTCGTCGAGTATGATACCTTTAGGAAAAAGTGTCTGTGGCGGTGCACAAGCATGTAGATCCACGTGCCTACCTTCGGTATGCTGCTAGCGCTTGTGTCGTAAAACGCATGCCAGCAGGAATGATCGTGTCGCCTCCTCAAAGTGGCCACCGGGATCTCTTGTCAACCGAAGGCCGTTCCTGCTCTAATCGTGCACAAAAATGTGTTTTTGCTCACGCGCAGATGCTGGGGGTCCTGTACGGAGTCAATCGACTCTTCGACAAAGCCGACCAGGCTATGCACACTCGCCTGACCTGCGCCACAGCAAGGCTACTGAACGAGAGGAGGCACCACCACGCTCCCCGACTATTCTAGCCGAACAAGAAGCCGAGTCCACGAGAGACGAAACAAATGTCTGCGAAGGATTCGGATGTGGATAGGAGCCCGCGTCCGCATTAACAATCGCTGTCATCAGCGCACGGCGATCGCCCTTCTCGGTTGAGCCGAACATTGTCGTCGAGAATACGACGCTATCAGCTTCATCGTTGAACGGCCTTTGGCTTCGTCGGCAACCAGCGGCCCGATTCTTGCCGTCTGAGAGTGAAAGTATATGCGTGGGGGCATTTCTGCACTTTCGGTGTTCCTATTGCACCCACGGAGAACAAGTCGAAGTGGAGGAAGTGGGGCCCTCCACAGCCATCTGCAGCCTCATGTGCACCATCACCGTGTGGACATTGGAGACAAGACGCCCCTTTGCGTGTGCGTGGTGAGGGCGCGCGCACGCGATAATTCTGTTTTTCCATGATTTTGCCAGTAGAGAGAAGTCAACACTTGTGTGTTTGTGTGCATTCTTGTCAGAGGTGTGCTCCATCGAGGTTCCTGTGGTTGTTCTCAGAAGTAGACTGACACAGCTGGTGGTGGATGCAGAAGTAGGACCCGCACGGGAAAACGAATAAATTATGTGAACATAAACGTATGGACGCATGCCAGGAACCCCCCTAAGGACAGATTCAATCAGAGGGCTGAGTCCTTGAATGGTGGACCCTTAAGATGGCGGGCGCTTGAGCTGGTGAGCCCTTAAGCTGGTGAGCCCTTAGTTCGCTACATGGGGTTTCATTGGATTTCATGCGGTTTCTTCTTGTCTCTCCTGCTTAACATTTGTCTTAGCATCGCGTGTCGATTTGCTTCATTTTCATATTTTATGTTTTCCCGTGTCTCGTCTTGTGTGTAAGTCCGTGACCACGGAAGGTGCGTCCGCGTCAGGGTTGGGACCAAGTACGGACGTTAGAAGGTACTCGGAGTCTTACGTACCACTCATTGCCGTGGTACGATATTCTTTGCTTTGTTTAGGGAACATGGAATTTCTAGCTTTCTGGTGGCGTAGATGGCAAGGACGCCGGGAAAAGCTGGCCCTCGTACATAGTGTCAGTGCGGATGACGGCTCGGTTGGCTCAGGTTTTGCTCTACCCCAAGTCTTCGATGAAAGGCAAGGACCTTCGGTCGCGGTCACGTCGGTTCACAATATTTTGAACATGTGTCACCGCGTCTGCAGTTCTACGGTGAAAATCGAGAACGAGAGGGCGGGTGTGTAGGTAGTGCTTTTCTTATTGTGATATTATCATCGATCTAATTCCCTATGGCCGGTTTGGCGCTTTGCCAAGGTACACACTCCCACGTAGTGTGAAGGACGTTTAACCGTGTCATGGGTGGACCAGAGTAAAGATGAGATGAGGGAGTGAAGGTCGCTCATGTCATTGCCCATGACAAGTGAAACGGCTTTCTTGCATGTATTCGTAGATTAGGGTGAAAGTTTTTTGGGAATTTGCCCACCAGTTAATGTTGACGGAAAAATGAGTGATTTGCTTGAATCATGGCCCGCTGGAGAAAACCTTCCTTTCGATTGGAGGTTCTTGTTTTTTCCCGGCGTGTAGGGGAACCAAGTTGGTTGGGTCAACAGTTATGTATCTAAGGGCGCAAGGGCCCGGCGGTTGGTCAAGGGCCACAGCAGTAGCAGTAGTCTAGTTCATTGAATTGTTGGGTAGTGTCCACAGCGCGGTCGAAAGTGATTGCTGTTCTCCGTGCCATTTTGTTAGGTGAATGATAATGATTGGTGGGTAATGGAGATGAGATCGTATTCTTTGGCACACGAAAAGATGCGTCCCATGAGCTGCAGCTGGTACTGGCATGGCAGCTTACCTACCTACCTTTCGAGCTTGAGATAGGTGTGCATCACGAGGACGTTAATATGACATGTGCCGTTTATCTGTAGTTTCTGAATTGCTCACCCGCGCGAGTGCAGAAGTATCCAGATGCAAATGCATGGCAATGCTTGGCTTTGACACATTTGGGGGTGGTTGGGGGAGTGCACCGTGAACAGGTTCAGCATACCGTATGACACCAGATAACACACCCCCTGGACCGATTTTTAAAGCTCGATTGCTCCACGACAAAGAGGATGCATAAACGAAACGATACCTTTCCGAAAAGCTTTCGACGAGACGATTTCAACGCCGCCGTTTTCGGCGCTGTGACTGCTTCGGCAGTTGAGAAATCGAGCTTCGAAAATCAGTCAAGGGGGTGTGTTGTCTCGTGTCATATACGGTACGCCAAGCGATCCCGACGACAAGCTCATACCCTAAGCCTTCATTGGCACCGTTCGTGGTCGAGTGTACTGACTGGTTTGTTTGTTCTCTCTCAATCTCCCAATCGGTGCTCGATCTCTTGCTCATTGTCACGTCGGTCCCGTCGTTTCGCAAACTAGCTAAATCGGTATTTTTGCACGGGAGCACAGGAGGGACATGGAGGAGATACTCGTGCATATCGGTAAGCGTCAGGGGGAGAAAGAAACATGTCGGGAAGAAACGAGAGATTCGTGTATTTTTGGTACCCTACATCGAAACGCATACAATGTACATTGCTTTTTTGTCCGATCGCGGCGAGGGCAAGCTTTGTAAACTGTTGTCGAACCATTGGAAACGAGAAGCGGATCCCTTTCCTGTGTTCACTCACTCTTGGACCCCCGTACGGCAGAACGGGCGTTCCCCCAATCCGATTATCGGTTGCAGGGAGATAGGACGTTTCATCAGCGTATTACGTTGCGGCGAGACACCATCGATGATGGTCGCTGGCACGATGGTAAACGTTTACGCCTGCCTGTCCTGACCTTACCATCAGCAAGTATCCCCCCCGTGTCCTAAAAGAGATGGGCCCGTTCTCGAAGCTCGTGCATCGCTATGTTTCTGCTGGGTCTGTCAACATTCGTATGCCATATATGCGACTCGGCTCACGCGCGCAGATGTTGGGTTTCTGTCTTTTGGGGCTATTGGGCTTTTCGACGAGGCTAGCGGATCCATCCGCACCCGCTCGGTCGTTCTGTGCCATGGCCACGTTAGTGAATGAGAGACCGCACGCACGCATATTTTAGTCTCCGACGAGACTCCCACACGATAATACACGCATGATCCGAGCGTGGTTGGGAACCCACATCTTCATTGACCATTGCAATATCGGTCATCAGTAAAACACTCGTCGTACTTTACCGTGCTGCAACTCGGCTACAGTAACGCGAAGAGTCCTGGGGCCCGCGGCAGGAGCGTTGTTACCGAGGGAGGTTGATACGCTCAGATTAGCACAGGCGCCCGACATGAAGAAGAGTGTTTTCGCACTTCAATTTGAAACGCGACACGAAAATGTCTTGCTCAAATGACAACAACTCTTGCGTCTCAGCGCTCAACAAATTGTCGTGGTATGGAGTCTGCTTTATTTTGGTGGCCATGCGCTGGTCATTCCACATACCTCACACCGAAGACTCCTGTATTAGATCAAGTTACACCATTAGATTGGTCTAGTCTGGACTAATGGTGTAAGTCTACCTAATAAAAGATATGCTCAGAGCTCTTTTGCACCCGCCGGGATCACTCGGATTTATGGCTCAATCACTGGGATTGAGAGGAGGGATCCCCGGGGACGGACCCCTCGCCAGACGCTGATAGTTCTAGGTGCACTTTTTGCAAAGAAAAGTGATCCCGGCGGTATTTGAACTCGTGCGGGTATCTTTTACTAGCCTAATGTTAAACCATCCCAAGTGATCCCGGCGGGTGCGAATGAGCTCTGAGCATACCTTTTATTAGATAAAGTTACACCATTATATAGATAAACTTACGCCATTAGAATCGTCACCGCTGACTACTCTATCTAATGGTTTAACACTAGGCTAATAAAGGATACTCGCACGAGATCAAATACCGCCGGGATCACTTGTCTTTGCAAAAAGTGCACCTAGAACTATCAGCGTCTGGCCAGGGGTCCTTCCCCTGCGATCCATACTCTCAATCATTGCACCATTAGTCTAGACTTGTCAGCGTGCAAATGAGTTCTGAGCATGTCTTTTATTTGATAAAGTTGCGCCATTAGACTAGTCAGCGCTGACAAGTCTAATGGTGTAACTTTATCTAATATCCTGCACTTGGCCTATACCACCCGTGTCATGTACTGTCCTCTTTTGAGCTGTCTGCCTACACAACAACCAACCGCCCACCAAACACAGCAGTGAATACTTTGTACTAACAAGGTTTTCGTGTGATTGAGAGCGAAGTTTCTGACTGAGAGCGAGATTGCGCGATGCGCTGTAGCTGGACTACCGCTGAGAGGTGGAGCTTGCTGCGTGACTTGAATTGAAGGCCTAGCCCGTAGCTGCAAGCCGATACCCTGGTCATCCTGTGGGCGTCTCTCGTTGTGGAGCTACAGCGGGGAGCAGAATCTACAGCAGAGCTCACCGCCCGCGATCGAATCGCCCTGAAACAGTTTGAGCAGGAATAGCCAATCTGGGGAAATCTAGCAACTTGTCTAGCTCCTAGCTCCAGCATCCGATCGCGATGACACGCATATGCTCGTGACGCTGCTGATGAGGCCTTCAATTTGCGCCGCTTCTTGGAAGAGCCCTCCCCCTAAATCCCAAGAAATGGCAAGAGGCGTCTGGACCCGAAATTTCAATTTTTTTGGCTCCCGCTCTCAATCGTATACTCCGCTCTCAATCAGGCGAAAACCCTGTTTACTGTATGTGCGACTATATATCGTCTATATCGTTGTCAAAAAAACGTCTGCATGAGTGCGTGGGTGAATCATCATCACGCAATACGAAGGAGACTAGTCTACAGATATAGTTCAATCTAATGGGCTGGACTGTGCCAAAAACGATGGCTCGTGCGTGCTACTGCTGCCGATATGCCGGATGGGTGCCTCCCCCCTGTGATGATAACCACTCTCCGCAACAGCACAGAACACGACGGTCACCCGGCATGTACTTGCGGTTTCCCCTCAATCCTAACGAAGGTTCGCTCAAAAATCCCAACTACTGCACGTACAAATGTGTGTGTGGAGGACTTCCTGTTTCACACGGTAGACGTTGCTGGTCACAATGTCACAACGCTCCGCACGTACGTACCTGTTTGACACACACGGCGGAATGTCGATTTGATTTAAGGTTGATTCAAGGTTTAAACAGCTCGCGTACAGTCTCGGAGACAACGATAGAGCGAACTGTTCACACCGTAATAACCCGTGCATACAAACCTACAAGCCCCATTCCCCGCGCGACGTATCAAGTGTTGAAATTCCATCGTTCATAAACATCCCAATGTTCCACGGCGTTCCATGGCATTTACCAACGATGTGAACGGCCGGCAACTTTGTGTGTCCACGATGTGTTGGGCCATCTCCCATATGTCGTCACGGATGGTGTCCGTGCAAACCGCTGCCGCGAGAGGAGCTATACCACAATAAAAACACCAAGGCACAGCATAACGCACGAACGAACATGTTGTTGCGAAGATACTACCAGTAGTCTAGGAGTACAAGCTCAGAGTGTCGAATACCCCGTATACTTGCTCCGAGTCCCCCTATTGCTCGTAGTCGCAGGCGCTTGACCCTCCTCAAAGGGGTAGGTCGAGTCCCCACCGCAGAAGAACTGTGTGGATGCAGGCCCGACCGAAACGACGAGACAGCGTTACAAGGATAAGTGCTGATGGGTAGACTTCAATTGCTGTTTGGCTATTATGCCATCTCGGTTACTGTATTGTTACTACCGTTTGCGCTGTTTCTAGTTTCGGGATCGCCATCAACGGTGGGGGGGTGGGGGGACGTGGGGACCGCGGCCGGAGATAACCGGGAGTCTGCATCAATGGTCACCAGCGTTGCAGTATTTGTCTCAATCGTACGCTTGACAAGGCTACGGTTTGTGGGTAAGGACACAGGGCACTAACGCTACACGGGTGGCCAACAGACCGGGTTGTAGGGGCACTGTTGCCAACCTGAATTCGAGATTTATTTTGGCACGAGTTGCAACCTCCCCACCTTGGGTAATCCTCGCAATGCAATGATGGCCAGGTTGTGCAAGGTATACCTTGCTTGGGTGTTGCGCACTGCGGACAAGCCGAATTGGGGCTGGATTGCCACTGTCGGTGCAAGTGTACCTTTTCTTGATAGTTGGTGCACTGCTAACAAGCTGAAGAGGAGGCGGACTGGTGATGGCGGCGCGAGGTGTATACCCTTTCTTGCATGTTCGCCCACTGCTCGCAAGCTAGAGAGGGGCTAAGTTGCCGACGGCAGCACAAGGTACACTCTCTCTTGCAGGTTGACTCATTGCGTACAGGCCAAGTAGGGGGCAGGTTGCCGATGGCAGCACAAGGTGTACCCTTTCTTGCAGGTTGGCTCACTACCTACAAGCCGAGTCGGGGGCAGGTTGCCGAACGCAGCACAAGGTGTACCTTTTCTTGCAGGTGGGCTCACTACCTGCAAGCCGAGTAGGGGGCAGGTTGCCGATGGCAGCGCAAGGTGTACCCTTTCTTGCAGGTTGGCTCACTACCTACAAGCCGAGTCGGGGGCAGGTTGCCGAACGCAGCACAAGGTGTACCTTTTCTTGCAGGTGGGCTCACTACCTGCAAGCCGAGTAGGGGGCAGGTTGCCGATGGCAGCACAAGGTGTACCCTCTCTTGCAGGCTGGCTCACTACTTACAGGCCGAATAGGGGGCAGGTTGCCGATGGTAGCGCACGGTGTACCCTCTCTTGGAAGTTGGTCTACTGCCTACAAGCCGGTAGCCTAGATACTTCGAGTCTTGTGGTAGCGGGTTCAATCCCCCCTGCCACTTGTGTTTTTCACATGTATTTCTCCATTTTTTTCTTCTGGTGCGGGCGTGAAACTCACTGGAATATTTCAACTAGAATTATACTTGTACAACATCGAATTTCCCCCGCACCACCAGCGAAGTCCGTCATTGAGATGATGCACAAGGTTAGCTCAAAAATATCCTCTCCCAACAATATATAACCTTTTACGTTTCGCCCCCAAAGCTGCATTGCTCGAAGGACTCACGACGCCCCCCTAGGGTTCGTAAAGTATCAATAATGAACAATAAAAACGGCGAAGAGGACAAGAGGCAGAAGCCACGTAGATCCCGAACGCCGTCGCACACGCAGTAAAGAAAACCCTCGACTCGCATCCCGCGCCAGCGAGAGCGACACATCGCAGCACTGTATGACTGTAAAGAAAACGGCAAGACATCATGCTTAACAGGAGTACTGCGGTACAGTATCTACGCTCTGGACACCACATAAAAACGCCCCCTCCCCCTTGCTAGGAATCGACTGCATGTGAATACACCCGGACAAGAAGAAAAGAGGCAGTAGCCACCCAGATCCCAAACGCCGTCGCAGAAGCAGTTAAGAAAACACGAGGCTCGCATCCCGCGCCAGCGAGAGCGACACATCACAGCATTGTAGGTAAGATTAAAAAAAAACAGCAGGACATGATAGCAAAGACAGGAGTACTGCCAAGACTGGTAAGACGTATCTACGCTCCGAGCACCACATGGAAACGCCCAATCCCCCCTTCGAGATTTCGTATCTATATGAATACACAATAACGGCGAAGAAGACAAGAGGCAGTAGCCACACAGATCCCAAACGCCGTCGAAAACACAGTTAAGAAAACACGTGGCTCGCATCCCGCTTCAGCGAGGGCGACATAGCACAGCATTGTTCGATTCAAAATAACATATTCATACATCATTCCTAACGGGAGTACTGCGGAGACCGCGGTAAACGACGTATGTACGCTCGGAGGACCACATCAAAAGTGCCCCCCCACCCCACCCCTGCATGCACAACTGTTGGGTACGCCCCCCTTCTTGCAGGTAGGGTTCGTATGAATGAACAACAACGGCGAGGAACACAAGAGGCAGAGGCTACGGATCCCAAACGCCGTCGCAAATGCTATGGAAATACACGACTCTCATCCCGCGCCAGCGAGAGCGACAAACCTATCACAGCATTGTGTTATTCAAATGAAACTTAAAGGGGAGTCAAACGTTTCTCTGCCTCCTCCTTTAAGGCTTCGTGCAGTTGTAGACGTAACCCGGGCCACGCGTTGCACGACGAAGCAGCGGAGGTCCGGGCGACTGGACCTGGAGGTTAACGACCGGAAGCGAAATTTGATTCAAGTGTCAGGCAAAGGCGGGTAGTGGAAAACGACGGAGCGATCTACGCAAGTCTGTAGAAATGAAGAGGGGCTAGGTAATCTTGTAATAACAATTCCCGAGGGCGAATAGGCACCCTGTAATGGGGGAGAGAGTGTGAGGGGCACCGCGTGCAAGACAAAATGTACGGAAAAACACACCCAACCACCCAACGTCATCGCAGGCAGGGGGAGGAAAGGGGCGCGTTTCAAAGCGGGTGCGAAACATATACCAGGCCGAAACACACCTTGCCACACAGCTTAGGGTTCCACCGAGGATTCGGACTCCGCGTCGTCACGATCACCACCCCTGTTCTGGCCCGGAGATGAAGAACCATCCCCGCCCCCGTCTTTGCCGGTCCCTCCACGCCAGTCTTCACCCCCGCCTTCGCCCCCGTCCTTCCGCTCCCGTTTTCCTGGGACCCTCTGCCCCCGTTCTCCTGGGACCCTCCGCCCCCGTTTTCCTGGGACCCTCTGCGCCCGTTCCCCTGGGACCCTCCGCCCTCTCCCTCGGCGGACCCTCCGCCCTCTCCCTTGTCCTCGAATAGGTATGGCTTGAGGTAGCGCCTCGCATCCTCCGCACTTCGAATGCTGTCGGGCTCGGGGATGTCGCCGAGGTATTCCTCACCGAATTCCACGAACTTGCCCCAGAAGCCGAGATAAGAAAAAACGATTATACCGCCAGTTTATGAACGTGCGGGAGGTCCATCACTCAGAAACCTCCCGTCAACCAAATGCGTCTCGANGCTTGGCCAAGAAGCTGAGATAAGAAACAACGATTAGACCGCCAGTTTATGAACGTGCGGGAGTTTCATCACTCAAAACCTTCCGTCAACCAAATGCGTCTCGACTCATGCCTCGGAGCGGTTACAGGGCCCCCTGAACCTGCCGCGAAATAATGAACACTTGAGCGGGAGACAAGCCACAGAAAAAGAAACTATCGGTAAAAACTTTGGGGCAGACCTTGCAGGACCGCTTTTGTGCCAGACAAATATACTTACGAACGCCGCGGGAGACAGGGATGGGTTGAAGCATACGCCAGTGTCATAGAGTTACAGTCAGCTTATCGAAACAATAGCAACATACGTTTCGCGGATGACATGGTACTTGTCGCCGCCGCTGTGCTTTCCACCAAAGGCCTTCTCCAGGAATTCTTTGACCACGGGGAAGGTGCGGTACTTGTCGGGGTCGCTCTTGTTTGACGTTTTGTGGCCTGGCGTTAGCTTCCTCGCGTTGATTACATCCCTCCAGACGTACAGCTCCATCTCCTGCAGAGCTACCTCCATAGTCGACTGCAGAATCTTCAAAAGACGATCAGTCCATGTCGCCGCGTTGGGGGGGGAGAGGGGGGCGTCGTGGTGCTTAGCGGGAAATACGCTAAATTGTTGGATGCACCAGAGTAAATTTAGGAGTTGGTGAGCTGGAAACGCGCAGGGATACAAAAAGGGGCGGAGCGAACATGGACAGCAGCAGTTATCACGACGTGATGGCACACGCGGGTATTAGACCAAATGCGCCAAATACCACGGGAGCTAGCTTAAGGGTCAGAGAAGTGGTACAATAGCGCGAAATGGCGGAGAGCAAAACGGTTCAATATACTAATGAAATGGTGATGCACATCGTATGCAGCTTCGCAATGACGCTTTGGATTGCTGCACTCTAGGCCCGCTCGATAAGCGCTTCCGATAAGGACACAGTCACAACCCAACAGACGTCGCGCGCATCAACATTAGTCTTCATCGGTCTACACATACACTGCAAGGGATACCGTATATGACACAAGATAACAAACCCCCTGAACCGATTTTCGAAGTTCGATTACTCCACGACGAAAAGGATGCATAAACGAAACGATACATTTTCGAAAAGCTCTCGACAAGATGGTTTCAACGCCGCCGTTTCCGGCGCTATGACTGTTCCTTCAGGTGAAAAATCGAGCTTCAAAAATTGGTCAAGGGGGTGTGTTATCTTGTGTCCTACACGGTAGTTGCATGCGCTCGACAGCAGGTGCAGCGTAAGACCTTTTGTCCTTTCGCTTCGGGCGGTAGGGGGGCACGAGATCAAGTTGCAACCCCTCATTGGTGACGTAAGAGCCTAGTCCGGCGAGCCCGGCGTGATCCGTCGAACCGTTGTAGGGATGCGAGGTCAACAACGGCATGCACGGCTATGAGCCCCCCCTGTATATTCAGAAGATGGGGCACCGTGGTTTCAAAAACCCTCTCGTTCATAATCCTACTGCCATGAGTCTGAGAGGCGGGGCAGGCAGTGCCAGGTTCCAAGGTGCGGAGCGAGGGCAACTGTACACCTCGTAGAAGGACATCGTCTCCATGGTCTCGTCCTTCGATACGGGAAAGCCGTGTTTTGCGGGGCCTAGGCCCTTTGAGAACATGGCGGTCCCGAGGCNGTAGGGGGGCACGAGATCAAGTTGCAACCCCTCATTGGTGACGTAAGAGCCTAGTCCGGCGAGCCCGGCGTGATCCGTCGAACCGTTGTAGGGATGCGAGGTCAACAACGGCATGCACGGCTATGAGCCCCCCCTGTATATTCAGAAGATGGGGCACCGTGGTTTCAAAAACCCTCTCGTTCATAATCCTACTGCCATGAGTCTGAGAGGCGGGGCAGGCAGTGCCAGGTTCCAAGGTGCGGAGCGAGGGCAACTGTACACCTCGTAGAAGGACATCGTCTTCATGGTCTCGTCCTTCGATACGGGAAAGCCGTGTTTTGCGGGGCCTAGGCCCTTTGAGAACATGGCGGTCCCGAGGCCGCGCATGGCGGCCTCCGGCTGTAGAGATACAGTGGGCGGAGGACTGGAAGTCATCAGGTGGTGAGAGGCAACTCATTCGGAGGTGGCGAAGGGGGTAGGTGGGGGTGGTCCACGGTAAGGTCGAGGCCGGGTGTAGGATATACAGTAATCGCCCGTGTCGTGCACACGGGGAGGAGATGCTTGTTGCGTTTCAGATGACCTCCGTGCTGTACACAATACCGAAGGGCAGGCGGGCGAGTCGTTTCGTCGGTTACACTACCCACAACGGAACTGCCATGATGGGAACCGGGAAAATGCAACAGACGCAGTGGAAAAACGAGCGAGCGTTACAGAGGGAAACGAGATCCTTGGTCCAATCCGGTCAACATAACAACCCCAAAAGTACGAAAGTGATCAAGAGAGCATTGCGGGCTTAACGAATGTTGGGTGACGTGCTTTTGCCGACTTTCTGTTATGCGCACATGTGCGGGGCTTACCGTAGCCTTGGAGCCCCGAAATTGGTTCATTGCCGGAAAATAGAATCAGCAAAGTGATGCCGGGCGTGACCTGATGCCCCACGACCAAAGAATCTTGAGACCGAACCAGACAGCCACATCAATATCTCCTCAACAATGGATAATCTCGAAGAAAACGCATACTCTGACCAAAAATAAACGGCGGAGGGGGGGCTCTACTTTTCGTGAACACGATCTCCACCGGGGCGAAGACGAGTTATCGTGGGGTGGGTGCGACACCGACAACTACATGACGACATCGGGCCCGACGCGACGGCGTATAAAACAATCCAAAAGCCATGACACCAAACCTCCCCACAACGAGACGAACCACCCTAGGTTTTTGGCATTCTCAAGTAGATCACTCCGCATTCCCAAATGGATCGGGCAACCTTAGTCCCATGAAGCTAGTTGAACGCGCTGTTCTCGTAATACAAGCAGGTTTCAAAGCGAAAACTGCCCGACCTGCATCCATGCACCCCACCTGCTTCTCCATCTGCGTAGTCATTGTGTCCGCGATGTAGGCTGACGTGAGCTCACGTCCTGGTGAGCCATCGTTCTCCGTGTAATCGTGGGTGACCTTCAGCATGGCCAACATGCTTGTGCGGAGCGCGGCCCGTGATACGCGCCACGTGGTCGACTTCATGGTCGCAATGAAGACGGCACCCTCCTCTGGAATCGAGGTGTCCGATCCCATACCGGACGGGTGGGTCCGAGTGCGAGGGGGATGGGTGGAGTTGGTGAGCGCAGTTGAAAGCTTACGGCCTGCTGCAGGAGGCGGTATGCTGTACGAGTCGGAGAGATGACACCGAAATACGAAAAATAACAAGAACGGCATGATTTAGTTGTGTCTCCGCTGTGCGATCTTAGCGACCCGAAAATAATCCAAGACTGGTCAATTTTGGACAAGTCATAAAGAAGTGCACACGATCCCCCTTGTCATGTGGCGACAGTCTCAGTGGAGCACCACTCATTCATGTACGTATGCGCGGCAAACGCGGTTCGCGCGGGGTTCCCTGGTGTTTTCATCTAGTGGTTGCCACACGTACCGTACACGACCGAAGTACACAACGTACNTTTCGGACAAGCCATAAAGAGGTGCACACGATCCCCCATTTCATGTGGCGACAGTCCCAGTGGAGCACCACTCATTCATGTACGTATGCGCGGCAAACGCGGTTCGCGCGGGGCTCCCTGGTGTTTTCATCTAGTGGTTGCCACACGTACCGTACACGACCGAAGTACACGACGTACGAGCGATACCTACCCCCGCGTTAGGTGGGGCGACGTCATGCACTGCTATTAATTGGAAACGCAAGGCCGAAACGACAGCAGGAGACAGCCTTGTACCGCATGAGCCACTACCAAGGATGGAAACTTGACTCTGTCGTCCTTGCCATGCCATAGCCACTTGTTGCAATAAAACCCACGACCACTCGCTGCATAGAACCTGCTACTAAGAGGCCTGCGTAATATGTAGGGAACACCGCTCGTCGCCTGCTTGCATCAACATGGGACCAGGGTGCGACAAAAGGCACGAGGAAAGGACGTTCAACAACACGGTCGAGGAGGTTTACCAGGTGGAGCTTGGCCAAAACGCGCAGGGCGGAAATCATGGCTCGGAACTTACTCGAGAGCTCGGTCTGGGTGATGGATCGTTCCGGGTCCCATTCACCCCACTAGTACCCAACCATCTTCAGCAGGCTGTGCTCACTGCAGTCGATCGTCGTCAGGCAGACGCCCTTGAAGTACGCCATGAACGGCAAAATGAGGTGGAAGGCGGCGCTTTTAAACGCGTCTTCTTGTTCTCTGGTTCAGCCTTCGCCTTGCCAATATCCGATTGGGAAGCAAACTGGAGCGAAAACATGCAAAAGCGGCAGGGCGTGAGGTGGGTGCATTGGCTTAGTAATCAATAGAAGTGGCATTGCTGAAAGCAGTTCACATCTGGACCAGGAGTGTACGCGAGCAAAATACAAGAGATACGTGAGCTCAGTGCATCGAAGAAGAGATATTTCCGCTGATGCTGTCCGATACTTTAATGTGTGTGCATGTCATCCGGGCTTAGGGAACCCCGAGAGGTGAGGCAGCATCTACGCGCGACCCCTGACCTTGCCTTCGGAAGCTTTTCAAGCACACCCCGAATATCCTTGTGGATCAGCCTTGAGTTGTGGAAAGGATACTTGATCGTTTACAGCAATGACATCTGTAGGCGCACGCTTGTGCATAATACAAACTCTTGGTCGCGGGTAACTCGAACAAAACTGTCAAATATTCCGTCGAGAAATATAAATCGAACGCGCAGGGATCACGAACTTCCAACCTGAGTGGCTTGTGTGTTTACAGTGATTCAATAAAAGGTTTGGAAATGAATATCCGACATCTACGTTCGAAAATACCCTCGTCCGACCACCTAGAGATGTACCCGTCTCATGGCCGTAAATTGGTTGTGGCTCCTTTCTCCGTCAAACGCTTCGGATTGGTTGGATGCTTTGACGTGTAGTCTCTCACCATCACGCCTTTGGCTTTGGCCAGGCGGCAAAGGACTGCCGAACGTAGCGCCGGGCACCACTCCATGACGTGCATGGCGTCTAACATGGCGTCGGCGGCCTTAGGGATAGAAGAGGCAACTGCTTGCTTCGATGTCGCCTTCCGCGAGTTTGACAACAAGCAGGCACGTCGGGGCAGGCACGCGGATGTCAGATGCGTGTGCTGTGGATGAAGGGGGGGAAGCCGTTTGACCTGCGTCCCACGCACGAAGTAAACCGCGGTACTTGCATGCTAGTTTATTTTGTAGGTCATACTTTCCCCGTCCGGTGGATAGTCTAAGCTCGAAGGAAGGGGGGCGAGAGACATGAAGCGGTCTCAAGTGTCAACGCAGTAGAGAAGGGAAAATGCGATAAAAAAGCTTTCTGTGTAACAGGATGGTAAAGATAAACCCTCGTAGTAGGCAGTCAGTGCCAGGTCATGGGTCAACAATCAATCGCGTCCTCTCACTGGGGAGAGTCTGTACAGTCCTGAGGGCCCAAGGCTGACTTGGCTCCAGTGTGGAAAGTGTTGCTGAAGCCAGTCAGCCAAACTTTAGCAGTGCTACTGCTGTATGCTATGTGTACGAAGTATGCACAGGAGCAGTTTTACGAACAAGGGACCCACGGCTTTGGGGATTGTGTACAGCAAGTCAGACGGGCCCAGGAGAGGCACACAACACGCAGGTATTACATAGCAGTACATGTCACAGCGTATCGCCTCCACAATCATGCTATGGACAGTAGACAAAGATTTCCGACGTCCTTTCGTTTCATGACCACGGCGCGGCAAACAGGCAATTTGAGAGCCGTGTCCCCAAAGAGTTCCCATTTGGGCTTACATCAGTACTGTGGAAGCCAGGATATTTGCATCTTCTAATAACTTACACACACATAAAGGGTGTCATAAACCTTTGACACACGATAATTCATCGCTCTGCTCTGGATCTTCACTCTGTGGGTTCTATGCTCCGACAGGAGTCGTGGTGGATCTTTAGGGTTGGTACCGAGAGCCAGGAAGGGTCTCGGCCAACGCCTACTCGCAACTCGCAACCTTACCCTAGCGTTGACCGAGCACGCTCGGTCACCGCTTGATATTCCTCGTCACATCTCAACAGAGGAAACTAGCCTGCCTCCGGTGGTGGGCATATTCCACCTCGCCATATTGGGACCTCAGCTCACATGGAGTTGAGGGTATTCATCGCACTATGCATATGAGGGAGAAGAGATAAGGATGAGACGCGGTGGAAACGTCGTCGAGGCGAAAGGGCGAAAGTCCGGCTGCTTGAAGGTCATCGCCCACCACGCAGAAGAGCACCAGGAACGAGGCTCTTGAGAATGCGTTGTAGGTGTAGAATGGAATGTGCGGCTGATACGCCATGCAAAAGGAAACCAATAACCAGGTACTTGTAGGTTGTGCACAGCTACATATGGTCGAAGTGGTCCTGTTGATCGCGTGAGAACCGGAATGTCGCGGAGCAGAGGCTTGTGCGGTAAAAAATACGTAGAGGAGGGTGGTGTCGGCGACTAAAATGTGGAGCCGTGCTTGCACCTCCCCCCCCCCCCCCCCCCC